ATCCGTCATTGGCCAAAAGTGCTAAGTAGATGCTCCATCCTGGCCTCCTGTGGCATCCTCAGCATCACTGATGGTCGCCTCCAACCAATTCATTTCACTCCATGTAATATCAAGAAACAATTGATGACACTGGATACCACAAAGGCTATGGGTTCTGATGACATTGTGGTAATACCACTGAAGACTTGTGCTGTAGAACTAGCTGTGCATAACTGAGTGCAGTTACAATCTGGCATCAATCTGGCAATGTGAAAAATTACCCAGTTTGCAAAAAGCAGGACAAATCCAACCAGTTGTTGTCTAATTGGGTGACTCTAAAATCAGCAATGTGATGAAAGGTTTCATCAATCATGCTATCAAACAGCACTTAATCGACAATAACCTGCTCATTCATGCTCAGTTTGGATTTCACCAGATCTACTCCATTACTGATCTCATTACAGCCTTGGACTTGGTCCAACCATGGCTAAAAAGCTGAATTCCAGATGTGAGGTAAGAGTGACTGATAGTCCTTCATATCAAGGCAGCATTTGACCAGACGGGTCATCAGAGAGCACTAGCAAAATTGTATGAATTGGAAATGGGGGCAAAACACTTCATTGGTTGGAGTCAATCGTTGCACGAAGGAAGATAGTTGTGGTTGTTGGACGCCAGTCATCTCAACCACAGGACATCTTCGCAGGAGTCCCTCAGCGTAGTGTCCGAGGCTCAACCATCTTCAACTTCTTCAGCAATTACCTTCCCTCCAACATGTGGAGGTGGAATGTTCAGCACCATTTGAGACAACTCAGATACAGAAACAGTTAGTGTCCAAATGTAGCAAGACCTGGACAATATCCAGACATGGGCTGAGAATTGGCAAGGAACATTCGCTCCATACTGGTGCCATGCAATAACCATCTCCAACAAGAGTAAAATCCAATCATCGTCCCTTGACATTGAGTTGCATTACCATTGCTGATTCCCCCACTATCAACATCCTGGTAGTTACCATTAGCCAGAAACTGAACTGAACCTGCCATGTAATTACTGTGTCTGCCAGTACAGATCAGAGACTGTAAATTCAGCAGCAAGCAACTCGCATTCTAATTCTACAAAGCCTCTCCACCTACAAAGCAGAGAACTGGAAAAAGATGCATCATGATAACAGAGGAACCCTGAAGCACCTTCACTTGCTCCAACACTGACACCCAGTGTCATCAGTGCGTACTTCTACAACATCGGAAGGCAATGTCTTTATTGGTATCGTCAGTAGACGATTAATCCAAAAATGTTGTACATGTTCTGGAGTCTGGATTTAATTACATCATCTAGCAACTCAAGACTCTGCATCCCAAGGTACTGTGGACCATCAATAGCAACGGAAAACTATCACAATATAATATAACCTCTTGGCCCAGCATATCCCTCACTCTTCCATTACCATCAATCCAAAGGGACCAACCCTGGCTCAATTAAAAAGTGCAGGAATGCATGCCAAGAGTGGCACCAGGCAAGCCTAAAAATGAAGTGTCGAACTGGTGAAGCAACTTAACAAGACTACCTGCATGCCAAACAGCATAAGCACCATGTGATAGACAGAGCTAAGCAATCCCAGAACAAATGAATCCGATCTAAGCTCTGCTGTACTACCACATCCAGTTGTGAATGATGGTGGACAATTAAACAACTCACTGGAGGAGGAGGCGACTCCACAAAGTATCCCGATCCTCAATGGTCAAAGAGCCCGGCACTTCAAAGCAAAAGATAAAGATAAAGCGCTGGCAATAATTTTCCGCCAGAAGTGCTAAGAGGATGATACATCATGGCCTCCTTCAGTGGTCCCCAGCACCATAGAATCCAGTCTTCAGCCATTTCGATTTACTCCATGAAGAAAGAAACCGTTTGAAGCACTGGATAGTGCAAAGGCTATGGGCCGTGACAATGTTCGGCAATATTGTAGTACTGAAGACTTGAGCTCCCCTAACCAAGCTTTTCCAGTACAGCTACAACACTGGCATCTACCTGACAATATGCAAAATTGTCCTGGTGTGCCCTATACACTAAAAGCATAACAAATCCAGCCCAGCCAATTACCACCCCATCAGTCTACTTCCAGTCATCAGTAAAGCGATGAAAGGTGTCATGAACAGTGCTATTAAGGAACATCTGCGTACCAACAAACGACTTACTGACGGTCAGTTTGTTTTCTGCCAGGGCCACTCAACTCCTGATCCCATTATAGCTTTGGATCAAACATAGCCAAAAGAGCTGAAATCTAGAAGTGAGCCGTGAGTGACAGCTGTTCACATCAAGGCCTCATTTGACCTGGTGCTGCACCAAAGAGTTCTTGCAAGATTGGAGTCATAATGGTAACCATGAAGTCATTACCAATTGTAAAAACTTAACTAACCTCCTTTAATCTTAAATATGAGGTATCAACCTGGTAAAACATAACACAGGTCTGTTTGTATGCCATGTAGCACAACTCTTGTATGATAGACAAAGCTAATCAGTCCCACAATCAAAACTCTCCGCTGGTTAGAGTCATACTTGGAACCTGGGAAAATGGTCGTTATTGTTGGAGGTTATTCATCTCAGCTCCAGGACATGTCTACAAGAGTTGCTAAGGGTAGCGTCCTAGGTCCAACCATCTCTGCCTGATTTATCAATGACCTTCCCTCGATTGTAAAGTCAAGTGGGATGTTTGCCATAATTACACAACTTTCAGTACCATTTGCAACTCCTCAGAAACTAAAGCAGCCCACGTCCAAATGCAGCAAGACCTGGACAATAAAATGTGGCAAATAATATTCGCATCAGATAAATGCCAGGCAATGACCATCTCCAATAAGAGACCTTCTAACCACTACCCCTTGATACTCAATGGTGTTACCATCCCTGAATCCCCCACCATCAACATCCTGGGGTTACCAAGGACCAGAAACTGAACAGGACTCTCCATATAAGACACTGACTGTGAAAGCAGGTCAAAGGCTAGGAATACTGCTGTGAGTAACTCTTCCCAAAGCCTGTCCACCACCTACATGGCAGAAGTCAGGAGTGTGATGGAATACTCCACACTTGCCTAGATGAATGCAGCTCTAACAATACTCAAGAATCTTGATACTATACTGGACAAAGCAGCCCATTTGATTAGCACCAAATCCATAAACATCTATTCCTTCCCCCACTGAAGCTCAATAGGAGCAATGAATACTATCCACAAGATGCATTGCAGAAATTTGCCAAAGATCCTATGACAGCACACTTCAAACCCACAGTCACTTCCGTGTAGAAGGCCAAGGGCAGCAGATACATGGGATCACCATGACATGCAAGTTTCCCTCACCATCCTGACATGGAAATGTATCGCTGTTCCTTCATTTGCTGAGTCAAAATCCTGGAATTCCCTCCCTTCTGGCATTATGAGTGTACCTACAATATATGGACTGCAGTTGTTCAAGACGCCAGCTCATGACCACCTTTTCAGGGCAGCTAGGAACCGACAATAAATGCTGACCAGCCAATGGCACTTGCATCCCACAAGTGAATAATATGGAAAGATGCACTGCAACAACTCACCAAGTCCCTTAAGAGTCCTGTGGCCTCTACAGCTAGAAAGAAAAGAACAGCAGATACCTGGGAACACCATCACATGCCAACCATCCCTCCAAGCCACACACCACCCTGACCTGGAAATCCATCACTACTTCCACTGCTGATCCCTAACAGCTCCATCGATGTACCTATGCCACATGGGTTGTACCAGTTCAAGGAGGCTGCTCACCACCTCTTTCCCAAGGGCAGCTAAGGGGACAAGAAATGCTGGCTTAGCTAGTGAAGTTCATGTACCATGAATTAATTTTTAAAAAATTGTTTTAGGATGCTCTGCTTTTTTTTTTTTGCTCAGTGCAATTCCTCATCTGCCACCTCTTATTGTGACATTAACATTACCTTCTTTAAAGAAGACAGATATAAAATATTAACACCTTAGTTGTGCCTTTTGCCTCTTCAAGAAGATCTCCTTTTGGTCCTTGATCAGCCCCATACTTTGTTCGATTATCCTTATTTGTATCCTTGTAAAAGATGACTTTGGGTTCCCACTTACCTTGTGCATTCCCTTCACCTGTCTTCTACCCTTTCCAGATTATTTTTATAATTATGATTTGCTTCTCTACAAATCATTTGTCATAAAACCCTACCTTGTCATTCAGGAAGCTTTGGATTGCCTTCCTTTCTCCTTTTTGAAATTGCCTTGTTTTGTTTTGTTTTATAAATTAAGGATAAAGGGATGCTAAACTACAGCTAATACTGTGTGTGTGTGTGTGTGTGTGTGTGTGTGTGTGTGTGTGTAGAAACATATGCAAACACAGTGCAACACTTTATATATACACATACAAAACACGAGACGTTTATATACTTTGTAAATGAATTAACTTTAAGGTGGAATGATGGACCGACTGAGGCCCGTTGCACTGAGTGTGCAAAACACTCTTTATCCTGTCCACCTATAAATTCCTAGTTCTCAAAATTACTGTTGGCATTCTGTTTAGAAAACTGAAGCATTGTTACAAACTGAATTGAGTATTTTCTTCAAGGAAAACCAGTTCAGTTGTGTGGTTAACAGTTGATCACCTTTAAGTCGCTCCTTGACTAGGTTTTGATAATTAAATCTGGAAGACAATTGACTGGTTGTAATTAGTTTGTAGCTGAAGGACATAACTCGAATATAACATCTTGGCACATATGACACAACATTTAAAGGCAGTGGTATCAGCTGGTCCATCGTTTTTCTTTGTATCTACTTAATGTACATAAATATGTTTTCCAGGTTTGTATGTATATGTTTAAATATTAAAAGAGAAAGGTGTGTGTAGAAATGGATGTGTTTGTCTTTTTAACAGATTAACCCAAATCAGATCAAACACAATGTTTAAAGATCTGAGATACGATTCATGTAAAACAAGAATGTTAATAGTAGAGTTAATGCAATCAGTCATTTCTGAACTCTTCTACAGGACAGTAGCAATGGAGAAGTGGATCGGAATAAGTATTGTCCTCTATGTAATATGACTTTTACGTCACCAGTTGTTGCCCAATCCCATTACCAGGGAAAAAACCATGCAAAAACTCTGAAATTGAAGCAGAAGCAAGATGAAACAACCCCAGCATCCTCTGGTAAGTGATCTTGAGTATATTGTAAAGGCTGGATACTTAAGATTGAGCGCATGATTTTTAGATGTCAAGATGTATAAGCTGGTTTTCAGCAATCTGTCAATTTGCATTGAAAATGACCACAAGAACTTTCCCGTAATATGGTGGGGAATGTTTTAAAAAAAAATGTAGACTGCTTGATGTTCTATTTAATCATATTTGTGCGAACCTGAAAATGTGAAATTGTTGCACTCTTCCAAATGTTTAACTGCATTCCAACCTAATGTTCCCAAAGAAAATTGCTTTTCATTTTTTATGTCACTATAAATTGGTTGTTCAATCTTTTCATAGTCGGGGCTGCCTATCAGTTTTTTATGACTTGGGGCAGGCGATGTGCAAATTTCAGAAAATTCTGGGAAGTTATGTCTGTCAAATTTTGATTGAGTTTTTAGAAGGAGTGACCAAGAAAATACATGAAGGCAGAGCAGTAGAACTTGTCTACATGGACTTCAGCAAGGCCTTCAACAAGGTTCTGCATAGTAGACTGGTTAGTAAGGTTAAATCATGTGGGATTCAGGGGGAGCTAGCCATTTGGACACAAAATTGGCTTGATGGTAGCAGACAGAGGGTGTTGGCGGAAGATTGTTGTTCAGACTGGAGGCCTGTGACTAGTGGTGTGCGGCAAGGATCAATGCTGGATCTGTTGTCATTCATTGTTTATATAAACTATTTTGATTAGAATTTAGGAGGGATGGTTAGTAAGTTTGCAGATGACACCAAATGTGGTGGTAAGGTGGACAGTGAAAGAAGGTTATCTCAGAGTACAACAGCATCTTGATCAACTGGGCCAATGGCTGAGGAATGGTAGATGGAGTTTAATTCAGATAAATGTGAGGTGTTGCATTTTGGTAAGACAAACAAGGCGGGACTTACACAGTTAATGGTAGAGCCCTGGGGAATGTTGTCAAACAAAGAAACCTCACGGTTCAGGGACATAGTTTCTTGAAAATGGCATCACAGGTAGACAGAGTGATGAAGTTGTTTAGCATGCTTGCCTTCATTGGTACAGGAGTTGGGAAGTCATGTTACAGCTGTACAAGACATTGGTAAGGCCACATTTGGAGTACTGTGTACATCCTGCAATTGGAAGGATGTTATTAAACTGGAATAGGTACAAAAGAAGATTTACAAGGATGTTATTAAGACCAGAAGGTTTTGAGTTATAAGGAGAAACTGGATAGACTGTGACTTTTTTCTCTAGAATGTAGGAGGCTGAAGGGTGAGTTTATAGGTGTTGATGAAATCATGAATAAGGTGAATTGCCAAGGTTATTTCCCCAGGGTAGGAGAGTCCAGAACTAGTGGGCAAAGGTGAGAAGGGACTAATTTAAAAGGGACTTGAGGGACAACCCTTTCAAGTAGGGGCAGTGAGCATATAGAACGAGCTGTCAAAGGAAGTGGTAAAGGTTGGTACAATTACAACATTTTAGAGACATTTAGACAGGTACATGGATAGAGGTATACATAGAGGTATATGGGTCAAACACAGGTAAATGGGATTAGTTCTGTTTAGGAACCTGGTTGGCATGGATAAGTTGGGCAGGAGGGTCTGTTCCCATGCTGTATGACTCTAATGTTTGCCACTACAGTAAAGATGAATTTTATGAAAAAAAAACAATTATGAAACATGATAATGAAATGTTTGAGTGGGAGAATTTAGGTTTAGGTGAGTATCAGAGGCTAGGTGCATAGGTAAATGAGTGACTGGTGGGTGAATTAGCATCTGGATGTGTTAGGTAGGAAGGAGAAGGATTGTTGTGTTGGGAGATTTGATAAAGCCACTCAAAATTAAGGGATTTAGACAGAGAAAACAGTGAGAAACCATACATATTGAGAACTACAGGACAATGATTCAAGATGATTAGGAATGGTTTGGATCTGGAATGAATTGCTTGAGAATTTGGTGAAGGCAGATTCACTCACATGAATTTAAAAAGGCAATTGCATAAGCACCTGAAGAAATTAAAAGGATAGGGGAGTGGAGCTAGGTGAGTTGTCCTTTCAGGAAGCTTGTCCAGTCATGACAAGCTAAATAATCACTTCCTGTGCTGTAACCATTTCTATCAAACAGTAATGAATTAAAAGTAGTAGAGATAATCAGTAATATGGAGGCATTTATTCACTACAGAGCTCGAAGAACAGATGCAAGCCTTGTTATAGACTTTGTAGAAAACAGATTATCCAGATCAAAATTGCTTAAGTTCTGTTCTGGGTCCTCTTCTGTTTGTGATTTTTGTAAATGATTTGGATGTAGGAGTGGAAGGGTGGATTAGTAAGTTCGCGGACGATACAAAGATGGGTCGAATTGTGGATAGTGCAGAGGGCTGTTCTAGATTACAAAGGGACATTGATAGGATGCAGAGCTGGGCTGAGAAGTGGCAGATGGAGTTTAACCCTGAAAAGTGTGAGGTGATTCATTTTGGAAGGACAAACTTGCAAGCAGAATACGGGGTTAACGGAAAGATTCTTGGCAGTGTGGAGGAGCAGAGGGATCTTGGGGTTTATGTCCACAGTGCCCTGAAAGCTGCCACCCAGGTAAGTTGTTAAGAAGGCTTTGGTTCTGTTAGCTTTCATTAATAGAGAGATTGAGTTCGAGAGCCATGAAGTTATGCTCCAGCTATACAAAAGCCTGGTTCGGCCACATCTGGAGTATTGTGTCCAATTCTGGTCGCCTCATTACAGGACAGACGTGGAAACATTGGAAAAGGTGCAGAGGAGATTTACCAGGATGTTGCCTGGAGTGGAGGGAAGGTCTTACGAGGAAAGGTTGAGAGAGCTAGGGCTTTTCTCTTTAGAACGACGAAGGATGAGAGGTAACTTGATAGAGGTGTACAAAATGATCAGAGGTATAAATAGAGTGGACAGCCAGAGACTTTTTCCTAGGGTGGAGGTAGCTATTACGAGGGGGCATAGTTTTTAAAGTGAGTGGAGGTAGATATAGGGGAGACGTCAGAGGTAGGTTCTTTACTCAGAGAGTGGTCGGGGCGTGGAATGCATTGCCGGAGAGGGTAGTGGAGTTGGCCTCATTAGGGGCATTTAAGTGGCTATTAGATAGGCATATGGATGATAGTATAAGGTAGGGGTGGAGGTTAGATAGACCTTAGGTTTAGGGTAAAAGTTCGACACAACATCGTGGGCCTGTACTGTGCTGTACTGTTCTATGTTCTAAGTTGTCAAGTACTACCACTTAGGTTTTGCTCAGTTGTACGAAACTGAGTTAAGTATTAGAATGTTGGTAGGATTGCTGTATTCATGCCTTTGGCAAAACAATTTGAACATGTTCCACAGCACAATGTAGAGATTAGATACTGGAACCAACTGGTCTTTGGACAAATAATGCCAGCAGCTGAGAATGAACAAATCAGCTGAATCAAGTGGCTAAACTATAACGACTGGGTTTCAGTTCGAAATTGATTGAACTGCTTGTTTTTTGAGAACATTACTTTTGTGTTATACAGTGAAACTATTGTTTAGAGCAACAGAGATATTTTAACTGCTTTTATACTGCAATAAAAAGCAAAATTCAGGCGAAACTTGGCAGGTCCGTCAGCATCTGTGGAGAGAAAGCAGAGCCAGCGTTTCAGTCCAGTGACCCTTCTTCTGACGGTCTGCTACCAGACCTGTTGAGTTTTTCCAGCAGCTTCTGTTTTTGTTTCAGATTTCCAGTATCCGCTGTTCTGTTTCTTTTTTAGTTTTATATTGTCATTTTTTTGGATTCAGATTCTTGGTGACCAGAATCTGTAAACTGACTCCAAGTTTACAGTGCTAAATTTGACTGACTTATCAGATCAAGAGTTACAGACCCAAAAAAAAAACCAGACTACAAGCCTAGTTATCAGGGATTTGGTTGATTTTAAAAATTGGGAGCTGGGTTATCAAACAAGTGCCTTATAGCCCAAACTAAAATAGCACCATTTTAAGTCTTAAAAGTCTTAAAATCTTTGGCTTATTTCACACTTTATCTCAAATGTCTGTCAAACTTCATAGATTCATATAGTGCAGAAAAAAGCCCTTTGGCCCCTCAAACCTGCACCACCATAACTACCACTAAAAATGCGCTAATCCCAATTTCCTGCACTTGTCCTTGAATGTTATAATATTTGAAGTGCTCATTCAAATATTTTTTTAAAGGTTGTAAAATTTCTGACCTTCAGCACCTTTCCAGTTAGCGAATTCCAGATCCTGACCACCTGCTGAGTGAAGGTTTTTTTTCCCAGATCCCCTCTGAATCTCCTGCCCCTTACCCTAAAACTGTACTCCCTCGAGATGGACCCCTCAACAAGGGAACAGCTGCTCCCTAATCGCCCTGTCTGTACCCCTCATTATCTTATACACCTCAATCATGTTCTCCCTCAGTCTTCTCTGCTCTAAAGAAAACAATTCAAGCCCATCGAGTTTCTCCTTATAGCTCAATTTCTCCATTCCAGGCTACATTCCTGGGAATCTCCTGTGTACCCCTTTCAGTCTAATCAAATCCTTCCTGTAGTGAGACAACCAGAACTGCACACAGTACCCCAGTTGTGGCCTGACCAATGCTCTGTACAACTCCAGTATTACCTCCTTGCTCTTACACGCTATGCCTTGACTGATGAAAGCAAGTGTCCCATATGCTGCTTTAACTATCCTATTCATGTGTTCTGCTGACTTCAGGGATCTGTGAATAATTACCCCAAGATTCCTCTGTTTCTCCAAGCTACCTAGTGTCCTACCGTTCATTAAATATTCCCTTTATCTTGTTTCTTCTTCCAAAATGCATCACCTCGCACTTATTAGAGTTAAATACTATCTGCCACTGGTCTGCCCATCTGGCCAACCCATCTATATCTTCCTGTAACCTACAACCATCTTCTTCACTGTTAACCAGTCTACCAATAGTGGTGTTGTCTGCAAATTTGCTTAACATTGCCCCTACATTTTCATCTTTATCATTTATATATATATATATTATAACAAACAATAAGATTCCCAGTACTAATCCTCGTGGTACACCGTTGGACACCAGCCTCCAGTCACTCAAACAGCCTTCTACCTCTATTAGAGATAGTAGGAACTGCAGATGCTGGAGAATCTGAGATAACAAGGTGTAGAGCTGGATGAACACAGCAGGCCAAGCAGCATCAGAGGAGCAGGAAGGCTGACGTTT